ATTGCAAAGAAGAGGAATTGCTCTCCAGGAGCGCTTCTGTAAAGCAGCACCCTCTCCCCTAAAACTAGCAAAGCACAGGTGAAGCTCACCCAGTCACTGAGTGGAACAAGCTCTGCCCCTCTCGGGGACATCCCTTGTCCAAGGACGACAGTGGCTGTGTGACCTGGGATGGGGCTGCTGGGAGCCCTCGCTGGGGCTCCCCGCCTCACTCTGGGGCCCCTCTGAGCTGAGGGCTTGGGCTCCACCTGCACTCCTGTGTCTGGCCATGCACCCCCTTATCCTCCCACTTCACCTGACACCTGCTCACCACCAGGAGCTCCCTCGGCTATCCAAACCCTGCCTGAGGCTGACTGCTCGCACCTGCCCTGCACAGAGATCGCTCCCTCTACTGAAATGGCCTTGTGCATTCCTGCCCTCCCCGGTGGACACAGTTCCTGTGGGGCAGCGGCAGCAGCCCCTCCAGCACCATGGGCAGCCCAGCTCAGGAACAGGGGGGCTTACAGAGGAAGGAGACTTTAGCTTTCCAGCCCAGCTCGGGAACAGGGGGGCTTACAGAGGAAGGAGCCTTTAGCTTTCCAGCCCAGCTCAGGAACAGGAGGGCTCACAGAGGAAGGAACCTTTAGCTTTCCAGCCCAGCTCAGGCTCCTTGCATGCAGAGGTTGGTGCCTTCCAGCTCAGTCTGGAGAGCTGAGAGGCCCCCATCATAAATGTACAAGGCCGGATGTGAATGGAGATGTCAGGAGGGAGACCAAGCGCTGAAGAGGTGTGAAGACTCAGATTTTTCTCCCACCCTGTAAAACACGGTTGCCAGTGTAGGGTGAGGGGCATCTGCAATCTGAGCTGGGCTGGGCTGGGCTCCGGGGGAAGCCGTGGAGGAGGCTTGGAGGGCTGCTCCTGCTCTTTCCTGACACTGCGGTTGAAGGGCGGGCTGCGTTTTCCAGAGCCCTCGATCTGGCATCTTTCCCAGCTAGTAAATTCTCTTAAAAACTGAACCAAACAGAGCTTTAATTGTACATTCTGCTTTTCTCTTCACTCCGAAATAATGGCAATAGCATTTATACAGTGCTGCAGTACCCGCACTGAGGCTGAGGGACCGATTCTGCTTTCCATTATTTAGGGGCACTGCTTCTGGTGAGGCAGATCGGAGTTTGAACAGTGAGCTGGAGCAATGAACTTCTACTATTCCCCACTGTTTGACTGTGGGCAAAATAAAAGGCCATAATATATGATGCAGTCAGCCAAGAAAGCAATATTGCTCTGCCATGTGCACAGTCTACACCAAGAAAAGTCCAGGATCTCATTTCTAAATTCCCGTAGGTACCTCATTTAAACCATCAGCCATAACCTGCTTCTCATTTTCAATACCGCTTGGTATTAGAGCTGCAGTGAACTGCTGGTGAGAGATTCTAATTCCTGCAAACAAGCCCCTGTAGGCTTGCAAGGAAAACACAGAGTTCCCCTCTTGGTTGCCTGCTAGGTTCCCATCTGGCTGTTTTAACTTTGCTATTGCTTTTAAATGTGCCTGTTTCTGCACACAAAGCTTTCAGCTCCACCTCAAGAGACTCCTGGGTTCTCTTAGCGTCAGATTCTGACCAAAGTGTAGAGACACAGACTGGGTCCTCTTAACAAAAAGGAAGATCGTATTTCACATTACAGTATCTAAAAGATTAATTCCACTAACATGATCATTTCCTTGTGAAACACACTTCTATCTGGAATTTTCCATCAGGAGGACAAAGAGCCATAGAGTTACACACTACCTGAGAGGAAAGAGCAAAGAGTGTAAAAGATGACTGCAGAGATGCTTGCTGAGAGACGAGAGAAGAAAAAACAGACTAGACAGCATTTTCAAATGCATCAAGAGGCTGCTTTTTTATTTTTTTCCCCTTCCACATGAATTATGACCCCATGCTCTTGAATTTTGAACCATTTTGTTTGTCAGGATTTTGATACAGGGAATTTAGGATATTTGGCTGCAGGAGCTTTCTGTATCATGTTATTGTTACGTAGTGTTTGTGCTACCGTAGTAACCACAGGGCCTGCTGTGCCTGAGGCTCTCAATAATCTCATGTAAGGACTTGTTACTGAAAGACACCTGTCCCCATCCGGGCTATCGACGTAACACAGGCAGAGTTGTACCAGCCAGGAAGGTGCTAGCAAAGGGAAAGAGGAAAGATGATTTGGATCCAACTAATGCCCTGCCAGACTCCTCTTGGGACTCCAGACATTAATATAATCTCTCTATATCTCAGTTCCATCTTGAGGAAATGAGGGAACAGCCACGGCAAAATGGCAGGAGGCCCTGTTACAGAAGTGAAAATTTGGGCTAGACAAATAGGTGGCTATTCAGTCTGTGTTCATTTTTAATGAAATAAAATATTTTTCTCAACCAGGAACAAACAATTTCATATTGTTTTAATGTTTTAAAATATTTTATGCAACGTAGGAGAACAAATTCCAAAACAAAGTAACTGAATAGAAAAACGGGAATAGTATTTTTTTTAAATAACAAAATTAACTATTTCATATCTACAATACTGGAATGTTTGCATTTTTACCCCCAAAATTTTGCTGAGTTTTTTTCCCCTGGAATCTGCAGATGCAACACAAATCTGTTAAATGCTTTAGCCAATTCAAGTTACTGGGGCTTTGTATGGGTTCTTTTCTTTTCTTTTCTTTTCTTTTCTTTTCTTTTCTTTTCTTTTCTTTTCTTCTCTTTTCTTCTCTTTTCTTCTCTTTTCTTCTCTTTTCTTTTCTTTTCTCTTCTCTTCTCTTCTTTTCTCTTCTTTTCTCTTCTTTTCTCTTCTTTTCTCTTCTTTTCTCTTTTCTTCTTTTCTTTTTTCTTTTCCTTTCTTTTCCTTTCCTTTCTTTTCCTTTCTTTTCCTTTTAGCCAGAGATGCTCAATATGAAATGGCAATTGTTTCCACCATAGAGAAAGGGGAAAAAAACCCCAAAAACAAACCAACAGAAAACAACAACAAAAAAAAACAAACAAAAAGGCTTTGCAGACTGTAGTATTCAAGTGGCTGGGTAATGCTGGTGAGATACAAAGCTCCACTAGGTTGTTGTAGACAGGGTTCTGGCATGACTGGGTCCCTCAGAAGCTGCACCCAGCTGCATCCAGACAGCACTGAGTCACCCAGAGCCTTTCCTGGGTGCTCCCTGCAGCCAGGCAATGTCACCCACAGCCACATCCAGCCTGGACCTCCAGGGCAAGTCCTGGACCACTGGGGAAACTCAGGCTCCACAGCCCAGACAGAGAGCCAAGCTGGCCCTGGCCATTTGGGGTGTAGCCCAGTGCTCCAGGTGTTTGGGAAATGATACAGAATGACAAGACTGTTTTAAAGATTGTGTGTTACCTTCTATTTTGTGGATCGCCATTAAAATCTCTGTCCAGCCTCAAAAATCTCCCACAGGTTGACTTTTTTTGTTTGTTCTGTTGTTTTACTTTTAAGCAGAAAAAAAAATAAGAGAGAGAGATAGATAGAAAGAAAAAAGCTAATGAGATGGGTACAGTGTAAAAGAAAAGTAATCCTATCCAACTTGCATGGTCTAGATCTCTGCAGAAAATGCTAGTGACCTTGTAAGACAGAAATTTTTCCCTCAGGTACAGGGATTCCTGCCCTCCTGCTGTCACTATTTCCAGCTAGAGCAGCTTCTGGGAGCCACCCAGAGGGAGAAGCTTAGAGAAATGTAATCAGTGGCAGCACTTTTGCTACCTCTGCAGTATCTTAAAGTAGAAGGTGGGGGGAAGCCTTCACCAAAGTCCCTGGCCTTCAATTAAAAATTTCATATTGCTTTCCTCATTAGTCTAATCATCTGCTATAGCTATTTCCAAGCTTACCCTGAAGGCCCTGCAGAGCAATCCAATTTCAAGGCCAGTGCAGTGCAGGCAGGAGCAGTGTTCTTGGGAGGAGCCATGCTGGTGTTGACAGAAGGAGCTCACTTATCTGACATTAGGCATGTGAATAAAATAATGTTGGCACACCTTCTGGAAAGAGGATTGCTCTATGAAAATAAGCTCTGTTGCACAGCATTTCCCTGGTTGCCAAGGCCAGAGTCACCTGTGAAGTGTCACTGGCACCAAAATGACTCAATTCTGGGAGAACCTCCTCAATGTCAGGTCTTGAACAGGAGGCCATACAATTTAATTCTCTTTGCTGACCATCTCCATTACTGTAACTAACTGAGAGGCTACAGTAGAAATTTAAAGCAGCAGGATCTAGCAGAAGTGAAAGTTTGGTACCCATCTGCTCCACAACTTCAGCCCTTAAGCATTCGCAGCAACTCAGAGTCAGCCACACTCCTTGAAAAGGAGCCTGTGATCTTATGAATCTCCTGATGTAGAAGCTGTATTATCTTATTCTTGATTTTCTTTTACTACTTCAGCTTAATGTTCTGTGTCGGTGAAAGTACAAACAGGTCATCATGAAGATGCTGGCAGTAGCTCTTGAGCACAGTGCATGACTTTCACAAGGCAGTAAAACTTGTAGGGCAATGAACATTATCTGTTTCTGTGCTATTCTTCATGCTAATCTGGGCTAGGATTGCACAACATACTCCCTTACCAAAGCTCTTAATCTTATATTATCTGCCCTGAAAAAATCGTAGGCTTTTATCTCTATATTTCTCTCTACTTCCCTGCAGTTCTTTTCCTCCACCATTGAAAGTAAAATCAGTCATTTTTTTCTCCTATGTATCCCATCATTTTTATTGTGTTTTTCATATCTTGCTTATTAAGTAGTTACCCTAGGGAGACCTCTTTCTTATTGGAACATACAAAAAGCTATAACTGCACTTAACATTTGTGGGGAAGAGGAGGGAGGAAGGGGCAAAGGAAACAAATTTAGACTGAGGTCACAAAAATAAATGTGTATGTTCAGTAATATGCCTCACATCAACTCCACTTCTTTTTCTGTAAGCAAAAATATATTCTTCCTTGTCTTCTGTTTATTCTGCAAATCAACTTACACTGTTAAAAATAACATACATGGACAAAGTTGTTGTTTTAGAAGCAACATCCATATGGCTGCTGCTGCTGTGGGGCAGGGGACAGACCAGACGACTTCAGACTGTGATCTCACAGACCTGTGATGGAGCCCTAGATGGGGTTCTCAACAGGACAACAACGCCAGAACTTTAGCTCTATAGTTTCAGAAATGCTCTCTTTTCTCACATCCTGGGTAAGTACCCTGCCCCTCAAACAAGAGAAATGGCCCCTCTCTGGAGGAAAGTGGCTATCACGTTATTTATACAAAGTGGAACAGCTCCCAGAGGAGAGATTGACACAGGCAGGCACAAGAATACCATCATAGCTAAGTGTCCAGGGACATTCAACTGAGAGAGAACAAACTAGTTCAAATCCTCTCAATTTCTTGTTCTATACATACAGACATTTATATATATTTATGTTTCTATATGCACATGAAAATCCTTTGCTATGTATACATGTATGTATGTACATGTGTATGTGTGTGTAGGTGTGTTTAAATACATAATTTATAAATGAAATAAAATTGTATGTTCACACTGTTTATATGCTTATATGTGTATATACATACACCATACAGATTACTCTCACATACACATCCTAAGGTTTTCTCCTTGGCCCTAGAAGCTTTCTAAGTATCAGTCAGCTTAATGATGTATTCAAAAACTTCTGGTTTTAACTAATCAGAATCAAGTGTACACAAATACTCTGGTAGCTCTTCAACCAAAAGAGAAATTATATCTGTGCCTACAAGATTCATCCAGTCTGCATTCAGGTGGTGCAGATGTTCTTTACCAATAGTGTTACTTGACAAGAAATTAAATCACATTATCTTATGCTGCTTTCTCAGGGGAGAAATTACATGCCTGTAGAGCCCTATCCCTGAATCAGTCCTGCTCTCTGGATGCTTTTAGCAACACCTGCAGGCCCTGCTGCACAGACTAGTTCTAATAATGTAATCCTATTTGGAGGGTAATGAACAGGTCTACTTTCTAGGGAATAGTATTTCTGTATGAAAATTTCCTTTCAATTCATTTCAGAAAAGCTGTCTCTGATACAGCCTGAGTGCATACAAGGGAACAGCAAGATGCCTCACACCAGATACTCTTCATCTCTGACCAGCAGCACTTCCTATGAAACACCGGCACTATCAGACCTCCAGCAGCTCCTGTGGCTCAGAGGAGGATCTGATAATCATGTGGACCAAGTCTGGCCAAATATCTACCTGGGAGATGAGTAAGAACATGTGGGCCTATTGTTAAGCTGTTATCAGTCCCTGGGAAGAGGAATGGAAAGGGTGTGGTACACTGGGGAGCAGCTTTTGGATCTTCAGGAATGTTTTTGTGATACAGGCTTCCAAAACGGATGATGTAAAGAGCTTGGATGTCAAGAAAAACATGGCATGCAAAATGATGGCTTACTCACAGCGTGTCTGACTTGGTTTTTTATGTTCTTTGATCCACCATGGATTTGGCAGGGTAAAAATTATTTGTGTTCTAAAGTCCTCAAAGAACCTATGCCAAATTCATGTAAATTCCGAGATGCATTATGTGGCCTGGAAACTCTTCTCTAAGGCAGCAGACAAGAGGCCAGTAGCCCTAACCCTCAAACAGGGATAGCAAGATTAAGATCCAGAAAGAGGAAGACCCAAATTAATTGTGCAATAGTCATCTTGACATTCCAAATCCAAGCTTTCTTTCAAAGATGATAAAACTGAAAATATCAAACAGGAATTTTCATGCAAATACCTTATTCTTGTGACCAAAAATACTTAATTGTTGTTTCCTTCCAATTGGATTACTGCAGATTACCTGGATCATTAGCTCATTTTTCCCAGCTCCTTCTCCTCATGAATATATCAGTTAAAGTTCGGAATTTTGTAAAATGCCGGTAGTCCCAGTTTATGGCGGGAAGTGGGGCTGTTCTAGCTGGTGAACACAACGCATTGACTTCATGTCCAAACCAGGAACAAGGTGATGCTGCATCTGTGCGAGTTCTCACTCTTGAGACCAGGCACATTATCAGTGAGAGATTAGCTCTAAAAGTTCCTAAACAAATATTTAAGGAAAATCTTGACCATTTCATACAGTAAGCCATGTTCGCAGGGATTAACTGCTGGGAGGCATTTGCTTAACTGACAGTATCCCACTGGCAAGTTTGTGCTCCCACTGCTCTCCACACCTCCGTATCACATTTTTCATGCGCAAAGCACTATGTGCTTCTTGAAATTTGCTCCTCTGAAAGCAGGATGCAGTTCCTGCATCCTTCCGTAGTGGGAGCAGGCACTAACTTTAAACCATGCTATTTTTGCAGAATGTTAGGAACGTTGCCAATGTGCCCTTCATGTCTTTCAACAGGTGGGCTGCCAGGAGCAAAACTACACTTCAAAGCCTCAACATTACTCATATCCTTAATGCAGCAGATGGACCATGTAGCATCAACACGGGAGCCAAATATTATGCAGATCTGCAAATAGAGTACTATGGAGTAGAAGCATTTGATGATCCTTCCTTCAATATAAGTGTCTTCTTCTATGATGCTGCCAATTTCATAGGCAAGGCCTTAAACTCTTCAGGAGGTAAGAGAGAAGCAAAGATAAGCTTTGTGAGGAAATTTCAACACAAGCCAAATGACTTTTCATTGCAGTAACAGTCACCAACAGAGCTTAGAATCAGCATATGGTTCAAGGCAGCACATACAGAACCACTGAGCAGAGGATGGAGAAGGGTGCCTATGCCATGTGCTGCAGGGAAGGTGGCTGTGCCAGGTCCCCAGGCATTGCAGAAGACTGGCTGCTCCCAGCCCAGCATGGTGGAAAGAGGGGCAAGCTCTGAGACCAGAGTGTAGAGGGAAGGGGAGAGGTTATGGCACTGCAGATGCTGCCCTATGGGCCCATCCTGTAGGAATCAGCAGGATCTGTGTGCTTCCACACATCCCTCCCCCTCTTTGCACACTGACAGGGGCTCCAGCTGGGGATCCTGCCCTGCATGCTGCTCCTGCTCCCTGTGGGAGCAGCAGCACTTCGATGCTGGCTTGAATGCTTCACACGCTCAAGTACTTCACAGAATTGGAGCTTTATTCAGCCTGTCTATTAAGCTAGAGAAGCAACAGAAGTTAATGAACTAAGTCAAAAACTATGAGCCTGACCTGCAGCCTGCTGAATTTTTGTCAGCAGAGTTTGGATTATGGCCTAGTTATCATAATTTCCATTTGTTCCAGAGTTTGCTCTGACTCTGGCTGCAGGATCTGCTGCTTTCACTGGAGTGCTTTATTAAATCCTCAGTTATAGCTCACACTGGGCTGCTGAGATACAGTAAATTACAACTCCATTTTTACAGGCAGACTATCCCACAGAGTTTGTGGGACTTGCCAGTGATCACAGTCAGGGCTGGGCCAAATTTTTCTGCCAAAACTTGTTTTTTTCCACAGAAAACTATACTAACAAGTTTAGTCACAGGAAGCTTCTCCTTCCACAAAAAAAATAAACTATTTCAATCTTAGGCCTAAATTAGATGCAGAAGGTCAATATGAAATACCACCTTGCCTGAGAGGTGATCTTCCTGAAAGCATGAAGCTCCACTAATTGTCACCATTGCTTTCTTAACCTGTTTCTACTGGCTTTTTTTTCTCCTCCCTTTGTCTTTTCCACTTCAGAAATGCTAAAGCACACTCACTTTATTGTGCCTTTTTGTTTGTGCAGGTAAGGTGTTCGTTCACTGTGCCATGGGAGTGAGCCGCTCAGCAACTTTAGTGCTTGCCTTTTTAATGATCCATGAAAACATGACACTTGTGGATGCTCTGAAGACAGTGAGTACTCGCAGAAACATCTGCCCAAATTCAGGGTTCCTCAGCCAGCTCCGGGACTTGGACATTAAACTGAATGAAGAGAGGAAAAGAACCAGAGCATCTGCTATCAGAGGCCTGTAAGAGAGTATTGCTGCAAGAAAGAGGACAAAATCTTGTTTGAGTTGCCTGTATCTCTTATAGATGAACTGCATTTATAAATTTAGGACACAACTTTATGAGGCACCAGATGCATGCTATTAATAAAAGTAGACTTCGCTTGATCTTTCAATTGTGCAAAGCTTTCCTAGATTTATATTTATGATTGGTTGTATACTCTATCCTTCACTCTCCACCTTAAAACGTTGCTGTCTGCTAGTTTAAAAGAAGGGAAAAAAAAAAAAGAAAGAAAAAAAGAGAAAGAGATCAGGTTCCACTTCAGAAATAGCTGTGTTTCAGCAAGTAGTGAAGCTCATATCACTTTATGAAGTGTTAGGCTATTTGAGGTGAAAGATGCCATATTATTTATGCTACAGTAATGCTTAGAAGTTCTCTTATGAACCTCCCCCCCCTCCACCCCTCACTCCCTGTGTCTCAGAGGGTTTGTATTTTGAGACTTGAATCTGGCGCTGGTTAGTTCTTGCTTTTACAACTGGTGGAGCTCCTGAGTTGGGGTAAGAGGCTGTTTAAAGGCAGAGCAGCTGGGAAACAGCATAAGCCAGTCTAACAAATTATTCCAGGTATCTCTACAGGCTTTTCCTTTTGGCTGTTCATCAGAGCTTTTTTCCTCCATGAAAACATGTTTCCTTGAGAGGGCATTCAAATATTGTTCATCTTCCATACTAAAAATCAGCCAGGAAATGCTGCAGAAAATGCTTCTAAAGAAGAAGGTGGATTCTCAGCTAAGGCTGGTACAGGAAAATATTTGACAAAGTTCAATGTATACCAAATTTGTCTGTCAGTTCAAAATTACAAAACTTGGGATTTTCTTTCTCAAAAATAAAGGGTTATTAACATTGCAACATCATATTCTGTGGCATTTGCTTTTGTGAGGTGGACTGAAGTGAAAACTGAAGACACACAGGAATGGCAAGGGAGGTGTTGACAGGAATCAGGCTTTCATCTTTGTGTCTCTGGGCCACCATAAGAGCACTCAATAGCTACTGTCATCTGATGGAACAGTGCTGCCTGGAAACTATGTGAAGCACATCTGGCTTTTGGTTCCCAGCGGACAAGTATTTGCAGCACAAAGCCAGCTCCAAAGCCAGCTGGGGATGGCAGTTTGTATTCCTAGTACCAAACTCAGGAATGCAGAGGCATGAATACTCTGCACTATGTGAGCTGGCTACTCAAAGACAGCATAACAGCAAGGGAAAACATTCCTTGCCGTTTCCAGTATTGTCTACAAGGTTAATTTCTGCCTTCAGGGTAGACAACTCAGCACCTTTTATAGTGCTCTTAGGTGATATGTACATCTGCTCCGTGGGCCAGACTATAGGAGTCAGGGCACAAAGCAGAGTATTTGGCACTGACCACCACACCAGGGGTGTCTCAGGGGGTTTTACTCTGGAATACCCTGTAGATTAGACATCTCTGAGCAGCAGTAGAGCAGTACTGGGATACTTCCTTGCTTTAGTTCCCTGCATGAGGAAACCTCCTCATGAGCTCTAGGGCTGATCTGCAAAGGCAACAAAACCTCAGCAAGGAGGAATAGCCAAATCAAAAGTATGCTTCAGACCCAAATCAAAATTTAAAATACATGTTTCCGTTACCAATTAAATCTAACAAAGTCATTCAAACTTACAGAACAAGTCAGGGAAAAAAACCCAGTGGATCTGTCTATAGAGATGCCCTCAGCCTCAAGCAGAACCACATTTTCTTATCCTTCCCCTTCTAGGAAGCAGGAAGGAGGCCAACCAGCCATTTTTGGGCTGGAGCAAAGGGCAGAGCTGAGGAGTCGGTGGGGGTACTAGAACACGAGCACATTAAGTGTATTTCACAGGATGCAAACTTACTGCGCTTTAAAAACACTGATTGGTACAACTGGAAATCTGCAGCTTAGTCTGATGGCAAAAATACTGTAAAAACAGAAAAGTAACACACAGAATGCAAGCTCTCAGGCTGCGATGTCTCGTGCTCGGTTTTTCTCCCAAAGGCGCACCCCGCATCCCATCCCGCACCCCACCCCGGGTCCTGCCCTCCCTCGGCCCCTCCCGCCGCTCCGGCTGCCGCCGCCAGGTGGCGCGGGCGGCCCAGCGCGGGCGGAGCCCCCGGCCGGTCTGGAGGGAGCCGGGAGGGTCCCGGGAGCGTCCAGCGCGGGGCCGCGCTCTGCGGCCGCTGCTACCCGGCCCCAAACCCGCTTTGGCCGCCTTGTTCTGAATTCGGGTCAAGCCCCGGGGGAACGGGGACAGACGACGCTGTGCTCCGGAACGCACTCCTCCTGTCCCGCCTGGCAGGCTAGGGCACAGCAGGGACGGACCCGGTGGCCCCCCACACAGGCTAAGCCCAGCCGTTGCCTCACGGCTCGCAGCTGCAAGGAGCAGCCGTGGCACCCCGCGCTGGCCGGGCAGCCCTCAGGCTCCGTGTCCCGGCACCGCGTCCCCGGCCGGTCACAGCCGCTGGCAGCGCCTGAGGGCCGGCCTCCTCCACAGCTCAGCCCTCGCAACTGCCTCGCCCCGGCTGCTGCAGGTCCAAAGAGGGTACGGGAGTACGGGTTATAATTAACAGAATTAAAAATAGGCTTTGAATAAACTGAACACCCGGAGAGGTTAGAAATTTGTCGTGCAGCTGGCACGTCAGGAGGAAAGTGAGTGGTATTATTCAAACAAAGGTAATCCAAGACACCGCAGCGCGGGAGCTTCGACCACCAGGCAAGTACCTTTAAGCTTGTTTACAGAGCAGCCCCCGCTGAGGCCAGCACCTGCACCGAGCAGTGAAACCCCACCACAGCCAGCTCCGAGCCCCCGAAAGGGCCAGGACAGAGCAGCGGCTGAGCCCTTGTGCTCGGGAACTCCGGTATCTGTGAAATTAGAGTTTGCTTTCCAACTGGACTTACAGGCTGAGGATCTCTGGCTGAAAAAGATGCTTGAAAAAACCAAACCCATTTTATTTAAATACCAGTCTGGCTTGTATTTAAGTTTCTTACATATCTATCTTCAAGATAACAGCCATGAAACACTGGATGTGGGTTTCTTTCCTCTCAGCTGATGTTCACAAGTCGATCCTGGGAAGGAAGAAACTGCACAGCCAGTTACACTGGAGAAAATCTGAAACAGACTATGAATAAAATGCCATGCAGTTCAAAAATAAAACCTGGGAGAAACAAAATGAAAGAGTAAGACATTGGTGGGGGAGTTATTTTTGCTTTTTTTTTTTTTTTTTTTTTTTTTTTTTTTTTTTCCCTCCCTTTTTTAATACTAACTCTTTATAGTTTGGGGCATTTATGGATTGTTTTTAACTAGGATCAAATTTTCAGACAGAAATGGGATTTTTAATATCAGTCTTCCTCAGAAAATTTTTATTGAGGAAATATGCTTGGATGGCTGTGGAAGCCATTGTGATGATTGGAGTAAAAGAGTACAGAAGGAGAAGACTGGGTTAAATTAATTCCTGCTAAATACCAACCAGCAGACTTGCTGTCTGTATGGAGAGCTGGAGACAGAATTGTACCAGGGTAAAAAGGATAGTGTGTCTATTTATAATGCTGCCTTCAACACCATAGGAATTCAAAGGAAAACTCCAACTCAGCACACAGTCTTCTCATCATCTTCTTCTGTCAAGATTAAATGGGGCCTGAGGTCATTTCCCCTACAAATCCTTTCTAGGAAGGATCTGTTCCTTTGTGTAACAAGGAATTACCATGGTACAAATCACTCCAGAGGCCACATCCTCCTCACCCAGCCAAATGTCATCACTTTCCTTTGGGTAGTCAGAGGAAGAGGAGAAAGGGACCCTTTCAAGTGTCAGCACTTAAGCAGGAAAGACCAAAGACTTTTCACCTGCCATGCATCCTTGCTCCCTCATCCTCTCTCCTGCCCTTCTTACACCAGGTGCTCTGGGACACTTGCAAACAAAAGGGTAAATGTAGCTCCAGCACAATCCCAGTGCCAGGCAGCAAAGAGAGGAATAAGAACACGGTGCTGGCACACAGTCATCGTGTCACTTCAGATGAGGATCTTACCCTGTGTGTCCCTCTTGCCACTGCAGAACTATCTATCTCTGGAAAGGAATGAGCTCCAGTAGGTGTGCGGGGCACCTATTTATCAGCAGATATTATCTCTAATGTTGAGAGTACAAATGAAAGCAGCTTTGGAAAGGGTATTAGCAAAAACCTGACTGCCACTCTAAAGAAAAGGTACACTCCTAGAGTTCCTTAGCTCCGCTCTTCTTTTAGCATCATGGTGCCTCAGATCTTTCCTTCTCATCTTCCACCTTCCAGTTTCTTTTTAATAAGAGCTGCTTTTTCATTCTTCACAAAACACTACCTACTCTGTCTCTATACCTGTCTTTTTTAATTCTGTTACCAAGCTGTCTGCTAGGTGGGGAGCAGAAGGTGCAGGACTTGGTGCTGCCTTTGAGGTACAGGTAATTATTATGTGCATCTGTTATTGTAGTTGCTGCCTCAACAGGTGGAAAACATGCTGTTCTCTGATAGATTTGCAGCACTCCATGCTCCTGCCTTGTCTTTTCTCTAAAGCTAGTCGTGTGGTGTTCCTAAAATAATAAACACAGCCTCACTGCTGCCACAAAAACCCCTGGTAAATATATTTTTATGGGAATGAAGTATTAAAGGATTTGAACACTTACTCACTGAAAGCAAAATATGAGCAGGAAGGTTGGGTAAAGATTCAAAGGCTGGTTTGCTTCCTTTCCCTGGGGCACATCAAGGCTGTACTGTTTGCACTTCAGAGATGGATAGTGGGGAATTACTTAACCCAAAATGATGGAAACAATTCAGACTATAATAATATAGCATGAGAGTTTCTCATATTACATCTATTCCCCATACTGCTGGCTATACTCTGCCTTCAGATTCACGTGCACAACTCTCATTGGAATCTGGAGGAACTGTATTTGAAGCCAAAATGCATTTCATTGTCTTTCTGAAGTCTCTCTGCAACTTACTGGCTAAATTCTGAGCTCAAGAACTGGGAACAAAGCTTGTCTATACATTTCCCAGTGTCTGTCTCTGTGAGATTCCCATCTGTTGTGTTTTATTTTGGATTTCATCTTCCTACTTTCCTAAAAACACAAAGCAGAAACAAACATTTCCTCTGCCCTGGAGTGCAGGAGTCACCTAATTTCCCAGCAGGTTCTCTCAACAACATACAGTGGATCCAAGTTTGTCTTAAAATGATACAAGCCCTTTGTGGAGAAGAAAGGGAGGGACCAGAAATCTGGGCCAAGTTTCTGAGTATTGTGAAAACCCCCTGCCCCCCAAAGAGACTCCATTTCCTGTTTCTCCCAGAAATGTCACCTGGGTTTGCGTTTTATTAAAAGAAATATACATTGCTCAAGTCCAGACTCTAAGTCTTTGGTTTGTGCTTCCTGCTGACACTGCAGAGACTACAAGAGCCATGAAAGCTGAGACATGAAAAGACTTTGGGGCTTCGCATTTGCAATAGCAGAGCAAATTAAATGGAGAGCATGTTAAATGAGTTGGGAGATAGTTGTTAACTAACAAATCTTCATTAAGTTCCCACACCAAGCTGTGCTGCACCTTTAATGAAACTGATCATTGTTTCTCCTTCTATGTTTCAACAATTTCACCACCACATTTGAGAGAAATTCAGACTTGCTTGGGATTTAATTAGAAAAAACCACAATATTAATCCATCTTGCTCCATACATGCACCCAGTTTGGAGCTGTTGGTGCATCTTTCACACAGGCCAAATTTGACTCTGTTCCCCACCTGTTATTTACTGCCTTGGTTTTTGCTAGTTCTTTTACTGCCAGTGACTCATGGAGGCTTTGTTCACTGGTTTATGGTGACTTTCTGGATCACTGGTTTGCATCACGATTACTGG